TTGCTGAGTCCACGTATCAAGAGCTCGTCTGGAGTTCTATACCTCCTTCCGCCACAACCAGAGGGGGAATGCCGACCACAGGTAACGCCGTTCAATTCACACTTGGCGGGGTCGAGCACTCCATCAGCTACTGGGAATTCGCCAATGCCTCCGGGTGAATTCCCCCCACGCAGCGACGGGGTCCTGCGCTTGGACCTCACCGATCCCACCGATTTCCCTTGCCAGGCATACTTCCTGGCAGATCTGTCATCCCGACTACGTGGATGTGGAGTACATCGCCAGCCAGACGAGAGGCGCTCTCCTCCGGCCAGAGTGGCGCATCCTCAACCACTTGTTGTGCACCTCCTACACCCCCAGCAAGGGCTCGGCCAACCGGGTCACCCTCCGGACTCTCTGGTTCATGGAGGCGATGGGGTCGCTCTGAGGACACCATCCAGCTGGGCTCGGTGGTCGCCCGGACGTTCGCGAAAGCTGCTGCCAGCCAGAGTCGCGCCCTTGTCTGTGGCCCGGTCATCACGGCCCTCGCTCGCTACTACGGGGTCGACATCACCGGGATGACTCTGGTCCACGGCCCCACTCCACTCAGTGTGGCCACCCTCCGTCATCAGCCTGGTGGCCCGCCAGGGGCGTGTTCAGTGGATTGCGGGGTTTCCCCAGCCACCTGCGCCCGCCGAGGGCGACCAGGCAGAGTCCAGCGCTGCTGGATCCCGCCGGGTTCCTCGCCGCGCCACTCCTCATGCTCAGGCTCCCGCGAGCCCCGCTGCTGCCCCCCGGTCTCCTCCACCAGTGGTGGTGCCCATCTCCGATCAGTTAGCGGCTATCGCTCAGCAGAACGAGCGCATCCTGGCCGGCCAGGAACTCATTCACACCCGCCTGGATCGCGAGCGGGACCGCGGCCGTCGTCTGATGTCCGGCCAGCACTACATCATGTCTACCTGGGCATGGACCCGAGCGCCGTTCATTATCCTTTCGTCCAGTCCCCGGGGTTTGAGGACCAGTACCCACCACCTTTCCGGCGATGGTGGCGATGGACTGCTAGTGGCGCGAGCACCTGGTTCTGATCGTGATTTCCATTTCCAGACTGAGGACGCCATGTTTTTTTGTTTCTTTTGGATTTGTTTTCTTTTATTTTGGATTGTAGACTCGGAACTTCGGTTCTATCACCCAGTGTGTTCTTCTGTGGACTCTAGCTTTGTGCCTCGGACTGGGTCCACGTCCCAGTCCTCTGCTATTGTCCGATCTACCTCTCGATCTCCGTTCCTGCTTTCACGGTAACATCGTTCCCCTTTCCCTCTGCTCCATTGAGGACATTGTCGCATTAAGTGTGGGGGGGTTCTTTGTATTATTTGGAACGGGTGTAGAGGTGCTTGGAGCCTAGTCCCACTGTCCAAATCTTGAGATTTGAGGGCTCCAAGCACGGCTGCTTTGCCTTGATATTTGATCGTCTTGGCATTGTGGATGTGATTAGAGAATTATGGCTTTTGACTCGATGCATGACAACTTGAGTGTGACTAAGATAGCCTATTACGATGACTGAGATGTGTAGTAGAGTTGTGTAGGGGTTCAGTTTTCACTGTTTGCTTACCAACTGCGACTTGTATTTGATCACTTGCTTTTGACAGTCATTTATGCATCTAGTTCAGGGAATCAGAATGTGGGATAGAGCATATAGGTAGCCATGTGAGATTTGAGCCTGCTCGTTTCTTTCTTGTGCGATAGATCCCTCTTCCATGAAATGTAGCATTCACGTTGTCACTAGCTAAGATGATGGAGGCATAGGATTAGCCCACGACCAAACTGACTGTCCTGATGTCATAACCCCTAGTCAGCCCCTTTGAGCCGTGTGTTATCCTTTCTTTCGGTCTGAAATGAAAAATCACCCTTGCATCTTTTAGAAGGTTCCACAGAGTGGTTTTTGCATGCTGTCTGCTGTTCTGCTAAATATAATGTGAGGGTTGGAGGTAGTGCTTAAAAATTTGGGCGTGCGTTTGAAAATATGCAGAGGTGGTGGTTCTCTTAAGAAATGAACAAAGAAAAAATAAAGAAAAACAAAGAAAAGATTAAAGCAAAAGAGAGCCACCACCAAAAATCTGGAATAGTGCCATTAAGTAGTTTCCGAGTAGTCTGGCTTGGAAATGCTAGCATTTTTGTAACCTCCTTCGCTCTTGTGCCCTAAAGAATTTGATTAATGCAGAATAGCAGGACGAAAGTTACTGGGTTGCTTGATTGTGGTTTTGTTGGGTTTGGAATTGTGGAACCTTTGCTATAACTGCCACCACTAAAAGGCCTTTTCCCATGTCCAAGACCCTAGCCAGTCATTTGAACCTGTGTCTAAGACCTCCGGATTAGTTAGTGGTGACACCCCCTTATGTGAACTCTAGCATTTAGAGGCTGCATTCATGGTGAAGAGACGTTAGGGATTGAGAGAAGAAGCATGCGCATTTTTCGCATCATATTGTCCTGACCCCACTGGTCGAGAGTGAGCGATTCATTTCTTCATTTTCTCTATACTCTTTACCCCGGTGAGGACCTAGATTGCTCGGTCTTAATTCTGATGTCTGAGCTTTGTGCATGATATGACTGTTTTGAACAAGTGATTGAGTCAAGTCTATGTTGGTTGGTGAACATGAAAGAACTCTTCCTTTGCTCGACTCTATTGCATTCGAATGTCATCTGTGGTGGTTGTCTAGGTTGTCGTTCGAGTTGCCATGTGTTGATGATCGAAAGCCAGTATGATCCACGTGTTTTATGCCGATACGATTTGCCCTTGAGCCTGCTTGATTGAAATGTCTCAAGCTTACCTGGTGTCTGACTTGGTTTGCTTAGGGACAAGCAAACGGTTAAGTGTGGGGGAGTTTGATAACGATATAATTACATGATTTTATACCCCTATTTCTTATCCATTTGCGGAGCATGGTTGTGTGTTTTGGCCTATTTTACGCCGGGTTGTGCTATTTTCCTATTTCAGGCCCTAGGCGTCAAAGGGAAGGCCAAGCACGAGTTTCGGATCGTTTGGAAGTCGTTTGGACGAGCCAGGGCCAAAACACGGGCAGGAGGCCCTCAGAACACGGCCGTGTTCCTGTGACCGTGCTTTTTAGGCCGAGGCTTCCAAGGGTGGCGTGCACAACCTAAAAAACACGGGCAGGCCTGAGGAAAGCACGGCCGTGTTTTAGCCTGAACACGACCGTGTTTTCAAGCTGCCCGTGGCCGTGCTTTTAAGGCTGAGGCAAAACACGGGCGGGCTGAGGCAAAACACGGCGTGCCCTCGACCGTGTTTTGGCCAATGATGCCCTTTTAGGCAGATTTCAGCCAAATTGAGAGGGGATTCGAGTTTTAGAGAGATAGAACGATCCTAGAGAGAGAAAGCGACGAACAAGAGTCTCCAAGTGCCCTAGATCGATCTTCAACACCATTGGAGCTTGGTTTGAGCTTGGAGAAGTGCCGATTCAACGTCCAGGAGCAGAAATCCATCTTCACAGTATGATTTCCGCATCTGATTCTGCTTTTGCTTCTCTCTCCATGGAGTAGTTCTCCCATTCATCTGGGTGTGGGAAACCCTAGTTCTGTATGTTGAGATTGATTGTATGAACCCAAGTACTGATTCTGTGATTGATTATATTCGATTGAGGTTTTATGATTGAATGACTTGAATCCTGATCAAATTCCTGTTGTTTCTGCTTTAACCTAGAATGAGAATATCTGCCTAGGTTAATAGAGTATCCTTGATTGAAGGTAGGGAGTTGGTGACTTTAGTCGAGGAGCCAACTCACTATTCTGTACCGGATTTACTCCGGTAGTGGAGGTTTTGTTCTTAGGGCCTCAATCTGTCGACTCCGGTGGAGGTTAGTCGCCCGCTAGAGAGTCAGATTGAGAGGGTCTGAAGACCTTTAGTCGAGACTTCAGGCTGTTTAAGAACCTTCCGCAGTATAATCTTCATAGAAACTGAACTTGGTAATTACAATCCGGCTTAACTGCAGACTAGGGGGAACCATATCCGGGTGACCTCTTTAACCTGAATACAACCAGTTTACTTGCTTTGTTTGTTTGGTAGTTTAGACTTGCACTCCAGTTTTATTGCTAGATAACAAGAACTCAGTGAGTAGTCAGCAAATCTAGGACCCGGGTTGACATTAAACCTAACCCGCTATACTACGCTTTAGGAAGTGGTTTCACTTGGCCAATTCCTAGGGTGACAGTAGAGTCGAGTCAATATATAAAAAATAACTGACATTGTGAAACTTTTGTGGAATGTAAAATGAAAGAGATTGTCAACAAATGAGTTAAGTACAAATGAACTTTCACTCAACTAATGTTAGTAAGGACTGCACTATATATAAGCTATATAATTTTTACGTTATATATTTATAATTTACGTAATGTAGAAGATTAATAAATCCCCTAAACAGAAGATTAATAGATCCCTCGGCTAGCCCAAAAAATTGGGTACACCCACCCACATGATATAGCTCTCTAATGCACAGTACCAACCCCCAGAAAATTCTCATAAAACACGATAAAAGTGGGGTTGCAATTAATTGATCACACGCACAAGGTCGGCTTTCCCCGGTAAAAGTGGGTTCTAGCTATTTTGTCGTGATGAACAGTGTTTTAGATTATAGTTTACTTGCGCTATTAATTAATTAATATATATATATATCAACTAACATCTCATGGATTATTGTTAATGGTAGTTTATCAAATTTGATTGTGATGAATGAAACTTGTGTTTGGAGGCTTGTGTGGATCCTTTTGTTGTGAGTAGTTTCTCCACTGTCGGTTCCATCTTGGGTTAGGCCGTGACAAAAGTATTCTGCTGCTATAATCAACTATTGGTATGCATTTCTTAACTTTATTTTGTCCTTGCCTATCTGAATTTTCTCTTGCTCATGTATGGTTCATGAGGAAATGGAATTGTTTTCCAAGCATAAAGTTTTAATTTCCAGATCTAGTTATTATGAATGATATTTTAAATTGTTACTAGTTTTCCTTCTTTCTGCAGTAGTTTAATGTAGTGAACTTATAAATTAAAAGTTGAACTTACAAGTGTAGAGAGACATTTGTTGATTCATGGAATGACCTCAAATTACACTTTTTGGTGTCACCACGGAGAGAAGCTGGGTGAGGCATTGGGGTCCTGGAATGAAACAACTGACAACTAATGTGTTTGTTTTATTTTATTTGGGTTGGGTATAACTTGAATCTAATGTGTTGTCTAAATTTTTATTATCATTTGTTGCATCTACACAAGATAACATGAAAGGAAAATCATCTCAAGTGTCTAATGGTGCAAAAAAGAAGATAAATGGAGCAAAATTTGTTGCAGCAGGCGCTTTAGGAAGGGCGGTGGAACGTCCAAGTTTCTCTTCATTAAGTTCATCAAACACACCTTCAAAAAAGCATTCTACTTCACAGAAGCAGCCTGTCGTTTGTAAGAAATTGTGATATTGGGTATCAAACTGTCTGTTTTTTCTGCTACAGCATGTTCCCTAATTGTTTTTTTTATAGCTCGACGATCAGAAGGCGACCATGAAGGCACTGGTACATCTAGGACCAACAATGTAGTCCCCCCATTGATGGAAGGCGTTCCTATGGCCGACAATACAATTGAAAATGAACAACCTGCCGAAGGAGGTGAGTTTTCTTTTCTGAATTGAGTGCACTAGTCGTGGAACTGGACCAAAAACTCTTTTAAATAAACAATCTGAACCCAGATGTAGCTAGTTAGCTTATTGGCCAAAAAATTTCCATCTAGTTCCTTACATTTGCAGCTTCTTTACACTGAACAACACATATGATAGTGGCAGCATTTTCTTATATTTAGGGACTGCATGCCTTGAAGTGGTAGAAGCAATATTAGGAGAACAAAAGCGTGGTCATGTGATTTGTTTTGGCGGGGATTGAGACCTAAGGATTTGAAGAGCTCAACTTCCACAACGGATGCAAATGATGCAGATTTGGAAGCTCAATTGAGAAGATCAGATGAAGAAAAGGAAGCTCTTCAACAAACCGTCACTGAACTTAAAGATACGGTTTCTGAACAAGCTGAAGAGATGGCCAATATGAAAGATGAAATGAAGAAGTTGCAAGAGTTGTTCAAAAGTATTCAAAATCGACAAAATTAGGTACTTAAACTTGTGCTTCCTAGACAACATTAGAACATCAAATTCTAATCTTATTGAGTTGTTGTGTTTTGTTGTTTGGATATACTGAACTCTTATCCTTTTATTGTGCTTCCTATTGTGATGTTATTTGGTTCTTCTTTGGAGAGTGTTGATGCTTCTAAAAGCCGTTCCAGACATTTCATTCTTGGTTGTTTATTGAGTTGTTTAGGTCGTTCTTTGGAGAATGTTACAGCTTGAAGGCATTTTTGAACAATCAATTCATGACTTTTTATTGAGATGTTTTGTTGTTGTTTGACAGTGCTGCTACCTTTCATTGGCTCTAGAATTATTTGTTTTAGTATGTATATGAATAAATGTGTTATTTCTAATGTTAGTTTTTTATATACATGTTTGTAGTGTTGTTTAACAAAGCTAATTTTTGTAATTTCTATTTTATAATTCTGAAGTGCAACATATAAGGTGGGCGGCTGAAAGAAAGGTGAAGCATAAGAAGAGTAGTTCAACCTTGCACATTGCCGAGTGCAATGCCAATTTTGCTTTTGAAGAAACCTAGAAACTACTCTAGCTTATTTTGTTGAAGCATTTGTATTTTTTGATATGATGGATTAGATAGGTTCCATGTCCGTAAAATGCTTCAAGAATAGATTTCTTAATTGTAAACTAACGTTGACGAGTGAATGATATGTATATTGATAAGTTTTCTTAATTGTTTCAAGCTTCTATTGCTTAATAAGTTTTCTCAATCTGTAAGTTTTCTTAATAAGTTTTCTCAATCTGTAACTATTGCAGGTTATCCAGGTTACTTTTAGCTACTATCAATTACAGTGTTTCCTGTGACTAGTTGTGAAACTTTCCCATGACTAAATGTTTAATACCAATAACAGAATTTTTCCATAACTAGAGAAAAGTATCCATCACGGTATTCCCGTGACTAGTAGTAACTATCTATAACGGGATTTTACTGTTACTAATAAGAACTAACATCACGGGTTTCCCGTGATGGTTGAGACAAAACCCATTACTTTAGCATATGAAGATGAAACTGCTCAAAATGGGACAGGGAGAGAAAGGGGCATATGAAAACGGAGATTCGCTCCATTGTAGATGGAAGGGCGACGCCGACGATGACCAAAATCAAACTAAACTCCATATGGAAGGAAGACGCCGACTCATTCCAGTAGTCGAAGACGAAGACAACGATTGGCCTAATTTTGATTCAACACGAACTGGCATGCAATTGGCAGAACAAAAAATTGAGCTATGGAACAGAGGGATACCTTCATTGGAAGCTGAAGTGAGGAGTGTGGGAAACTGGCGGCTTGCAGGAGGAGAGGAGCTAGGCCGATTTTGGATTCTGGAACTAGTTTTTTGGAGAGGGGGAAAAGGAGCTATGAATTTTGGAGAGTGAAAAACGAGAGGGAAACGAAAACCTCACCCACATGTTAGATCATCTTAATCTATTTTCCAATGCAGAAAAGGAAAAAATAAAAACAAATTACAATGTGACAAAACGTTAATTTTGTCACATTCCACATAAATATTTCCCTCCCATCTTTCCCGCCAACTGAAATTCCAATCAATGTGACAATTTAGTTTGTCACATTGCAATTTAACGGTATATAAAGTGACAAACCGTATTGTGACGACTAGTTTTGTCACACTATAGGACTGCGAATTATCCGACCCAAAGTTATTATGACAAAATAATTGTGACACCCTAACTTTTGTCATAACAAATATTTGTTATGACAAAAATCAAATTTGCCACAATATCCGACTATATTATGACGAATTTACTTTTTGTCACATTATATAACTCTGTGGTGATAAAATAAGAAATGACAAATTAGAATTTTGTCACCATAGACCATATTTGTTGTAGTGTCATGTCCCAAACTCTAGTGTATGCTGGTCTAAATAGTAAAACTCGACAGCCGTACGGATTAAAAAAAGGTACGGTAAGATTTGCAATATACATAAACTTCTTCAGCTTTAAATAATATTGAGAAAAGAGTGAGCTTTAGATGATTTTAAGTTCCCCTTATGGTTTTGAGTGTCCAGCTCCGCCTAAATGGATAAATATGCATTTGTGACACCTAGGTATTATCTTACTCAACCCGAGCGTTATAGATTCCTTTCTTGTTGGAGAACGCCTAAGCAAGGCGTTTTGGTGTTTCCTAGCGCTTAATTAGGTGCGCCTAATCGTTAAGTTACGCGTCGTTTTGAATCATGATAAAGTTTACTATATACAATGTCTTAGTTACAATATGGTAAACTCTTAACCCATAATATTTACAGATAATCATATAGGTAAATAATTAAGTTCATGATCTATAATGTACAATAGCCTGCATTTGCGATAGTTCAAGTGATATTATTGAGATAAGAGGACTCATGATATGTTCATAAATCTACTATATCCAATTAGTCATGGGATATAAGGCTAATAAAGGTTTACTATAGGCAATGTCTTATTCACTAAATGCTAAACTACTAAACCATCATATGTAAACATTGCGATAATCAAATTTATAAGTAACTAAGTATATGATCTATACTTTAACCTACATTTGAAATAGTTCCAGTGACAGTATGCATATTGCATATTTTTTGTAATTTTGTTAAAGAACTTAATTCTCAAGTGAGTTTGGGTTTTGACTTTTATAATGTTTTAAAAAATACATAATATCAAGTGAATTTCATACTTTGAACTTCTATTACGAAAAGAAAAAGGCTATAGTTAGCTTTAGAACTAAATACTAAATTTTGAAAGATAATATATTTATATATAGTAACTATTAAGGTCAATTGGGCATATTAGGGTTGGCTCGATCGGGACACGGGTTAGTCGGATTCGGGCCAACCGTGTATTAAGTTTAATCGGATTGCAGATCAATTGAGTTTGGGTTAATTGGGTTGCGGATAAATCGGGTTATGGGTCAGGCGCGTTGTGGGTCATTGACTTCTAGTCAAATTGGGTTGTGGTTGGGTTTCGAGTCGGGTTGACAGGCCGGGATACTCGGATCAGGTTCTATTTTGACACATCTAACGAGGACGTTAAGGATGGTTAGCTCCACCTACTCTAAAGCTATTGGTTGAAGAGGTCCCTATCTATTCTACTCCAGTTGGTAGGCTTATACTATCGTCTGGGGATTTTTTCCATAAATAGCACTGTTTGATTTTTTTTTTTTGATAATGATGATATAGATTTTATTAGTAAAAGAAGGAGAAGGACAACAAACAAAAGCAGACAGCACAACGCAACACAAGAAGCCATCTGAAAGTCCAAACTCCACCAAACAAAAAAACAGCGCACTCCAAAATCGAGCTAAGAAAACCGGAAGAAATGAACAACACCGCGCAGCGCACTCAGAAATCACAGGTTCCCCAAAAGTGATTGATCAGCATCTCCAACCTCCTCAGCAAATTACGGAGCCCTTGGGAAGAGCCGCTCCCTCGCATTATGCTGCCACTGATCCGCAAAGACTCTATCAACCTTGTTCGAGGCGCACAACCAGTCATGAATGTTACAGATAACCTTGAAACAGATGCCCAGAACCGAGCCATAGTCCTCCCTAAATGTTCGAGCATTCCTTTCCAGCCAAATACTCTAGCAAAACGCGTGCAAGAAGACATTCGAACACCACACCTGCGGACTTGAAGTTGAAGAGCAAGGCCACGACCCAATAGCAGAAGCAATGTCTTGAGAGGGAGCCTGAATTGGCACAAAATTGCCCAACAGATTCCAAACTTCACGGGAGAACCTGCAGAGAAGGAAAAGATGATGTATCGTCTCCTCATTCTCGCCGCACAATACACATCGGCTAGGAAATGAACATCCTCTCCGTTTAAGAGCATCATGCGTGAGAATCTTTTTCTGGAAGGCAATCCACATGAACACACATATCTTGGGAGGAACAACACTCTGCCAAATCACCTTGGCGGGAAAGCTGTCAGATCTCATTAAGTTTTCCTTGACGAGTTCCCCTTATAGGGAACACACACTGAAACATGGAGCCGGTTCCCAAACAATGCGAGCTGTACCTGCAAAAAGGGTGTTAGTGGACATAGAATTAAGAACCAGCATTAGGTTCTCCCTTTCTCTCTCAGCCCCCCCCCTCTCTCAAGTTATGAGTAAGCGGAATATCAAAGGAAATTCCATCCTCCTGCAGATTAACCACACCGGTAATCTTGCAATTCGGCGCGACGGAAGCAGCGGCTACCCGCGGGAAGTCAACAGCAAGAGTACGACCCTGGATCCACACATCATGCCAAAAGGAAGTTCCTGCCCCAGAACCCGGCTCCACCCTAGCAAATTTCCAGAACACATTCTTGAGTTTCAAGATTTGAGACCATGGACTTGTACCTGCCGAGCCGCGAGTAGAGCCCGGTATCCATTCCGACTGAACATTAGGATACTTGATGTTTATAAGTTCACACCACCAAGCTCCCCTTCAAGAGCAAACCTCCACCACCATTTACATAGAAGTGCTTGGTTCCTTAATTTAAGATCAGCGATGCCAAGTCCGCCAAGCTTTTTAGGGCCTTTGCAAATATCCCAAGAGACCAAATGAAACTTTCCATCCCCTTGAGAGCCCGACCAAATAAAATCTCGTTGAGCCTTCTCAAGCCGACTAATAATATAAACCGGAGCCTTGAACAGGCTAAACATATGAATAGGTTGACTCGCTAAAACTGCTTTGCACAACGTAATTCTGCCCCCAAGTGAAAGATAATTCTTTTTCCAACCAGCGAGCCGGTGTTCCACCTTGTTAATGACCTTGTTACAGACCGCAACAGATGAGGGAGAAGCT